AGACACTCAAGTTCACTGACTTTCGAAGCTAACTCATGTTCTACTTCAACTATTTTAGACTTGAGAGATAAAATCTTAGATTCTTTTTTCGATGAGTCATTTTGAATTAAAATCACATCTTTCTGGGCTGAAGACAACTTACTTTCCAATATCTTGATTATAAACTCGAGTAATTTAATTTTCTTGAATTTCGTAACATTCTCAGCCTTGGATTCAGCAATAAAAATATCCTTTTGTGTGTTATGAGAAATAAGATTAGTATTTTCATTTTGTATTTGCTTATGCTCATTAATAATCTGCAAAGTGTGGGTGCGTAACTTTTGAATCTTGGTATTATTTCGTAACGAATTCCGATTCCACCCCTTTCTTTCTCGATCAAACGCATTCATTTGCTTTATGTATTTATCCTGCAATTTCTCACTAAGCTTATTAATTTCTGCTTTGGACTTGATAGCGTCATGTATTTTTTTTTATAGCTCTTCTTCACATATACTACCAAGTTGATGGCCTTTAATATTTTGTAATATATGTATATTAGCCAACATATTAGCATCTTGTACTTGCTCTGCTAAATAATAGATAATATATAAAAAATGAATAAGATGCAAAAGTAAAATATATCTTCAGTAAATATTATTTTTTTATATATCTGTATATTTTTAAATATAATAAAACATTTCGAAACATTCTAAGATATTCTGGAATATTTGTATATTTTTTATTATATATCAACTACTATATGTATAACTAATATTTCAAAATATTTCGAAACTTTTTGAAACTTTTCTTTATATGTAATAATAAAAATATTTCTGCAAAGCAGAACATTTACGCGGTTGATATGGGATGTATCCATAAAAAATATTATAGTGCTAATGCAACATTTCTTTCGGATGAAGCGATTCAAGAAATTAAAGGATCAATAGGTATAATACCTGATGCAATAAATACAATGGCAAAAAAATATCACATATCTCACTCTCGTGTTATTGATTATATAGAAAATCAAGAACGCCAACAACAAATAAATTCTCGATTACGAATTGAAAGTGAGGTTTTATTGCAGAGCAAGTCCTTAGATAATT